GCTCCTCTATTGATGCCGCCGGCCCCCCCTCTTGGCTTTCAAATTTTGAATTCTCAATTAATACTTTCAATGCACTTAATTGGGAATTCAAACCACTAATCTCTCCTCTCCTAATTCCCCCCAAAACTGAATTTACTTCAGTTTTATTGCATAACACACATCTCCCTCTCCCTCCCCATCTCCACCGCCGGCCCCCCCTCTCTCTCCTCTCCAACCCGCCGCCCATCTCTCCCCCCATTGGAGATTATCCCGTGGCGACCACCCTTTCTCTTCTTCAAGGATGCAATGGAGGAACCCGAGTGGAACTTCGGGTTTGAGTACGACAACCACGGAAGGGTTAACATCCTCAGATCACCGTTCTTCGACGTCGGCTTTGACTTTGACGACACCGTCGAAGAATACTTGGATCGGATCCTACCTACACTAGTGGATTCCATCGACGACCACTTTTCCATCTACACGTGGATCATTAAAGGCCGCTCTCCCGCCCCACCTCCACATCCGGCACCTTCCTCTCCTTCCCTACGGATCTACGGCACCGTCGCCCTCGGAGTGGTCTCGTCACTTGTGTGGTTATTCTTCTCCCAACGAACCTAGAAGTAGGAACATGAGCGTGGCCTCAAGGTGAGACGATCGCTTTGTTAACCGCCGGATTTTAGTTGACCATTCATTTTCATTACTTGTTATTGATGTTGTTATTTTATAAATCTTGTAAACTTAGTTGGAGCTACTTGCCTAGACGTTGTTAACTTCTAAGATCTTCTTTGAATCGTTAAATTAGAGAAGCATTGAATTGTATTATCATTACTTTAACAAACCTCTATTAACTTCTAAGAAACAATTCCTGGTTTCACATCACAACCTCTTTACAAATCTAGATGTAAGCTTAAGTACATCAACTTTATAGCTCTATAGGCCCGCATTGGTAAGACCTCCATGCATTGGGTTATACCTTTTGTTTTAATTCAACCAAATAGTGCTGCCTTGATCTCCACAATTACTACTCTTTGTAATTCAACTAAATATCTTTGTTCAGAATGGGCTTGCCTAGGATTTTGCCATTACATTACTGCATAAATTGTTGTTTATGTTCACTTTGGTCCAAGGAAAAATGTTTTTCCCTCATATTAATCTGCCTATTTAAAGTTATGATAATATTTTATGCAGCAAAACAGATTTTATGTTTCGGTTCACTGCCATCTTAGTGGTTTTTTTCCGGACCACCCCAAAAGATAGATCTTCCTCCACACACACGCTTATACACTATGATGCCCGATGATACGAGCATTTCTTGCTTTGTCTATGCAAAGCTTCTTCACTCGTTATTGATAGATAAGAAATGAATGACTTCAAAATATTTTGAGTCTATTCATCTTAAGAAATTAGTAGTACACGTGTTTTTCAACTTCTTCACTGAAACCAAATGTTAGCATCATTTGAAAAAGCAGCAGATTTTTCTCCCTTCTGCATATTTTGTTTAATTTTGAAACACCACATGCATTCTCAACTTATCTGTTGAGCGGACCTTGGGAAAAACTCATCTGCGTGAATAATGTTAAGAATTATGGTTGAGTTTCTTCCTTTTCAACCTTGTATCTCCATGAAAACAAAATGGTATTCAAGCTCAACTTGTTGAGCATAGTATATTTTTCTTATGAGCGCCCATAATTCAACTATTTGCTGGAGTTGTACAGAAGTAAAACTAAAATTTCTTTTAGGCGATGAATCTTCATTCATTTTGCAGATTTGCTAGCTTTCAAGTTTGTTACTCTCTTCTTCATGCCAATCTCTTAAGTGTCTGTATTTTATTGCATATCCACTGCAGGTTGGAGTGGATAATATGTGTATTCTTGTGCATGCTGTCAAGCGCCAAACAACTGATATATCCTTAGAAGGGAAAATAAGCAATGCACTTGTGGAAGTTGGGCCTTCCATAACCCTTGCTAGTTTGTCTGAAGTTTTAGCCTTTGCTGTTGGAAGTTTTATTCCAATGCCTGCTGTTCGTATCTTCTCTATGTTTGCTGGTGAAACTCTCTCTCGAAGTTTTGCTAATCCTAGGCTGTTATAAACTTCAGTGAACCTATAAATCCCTTTTTCTTGCAGCATTGGCTGTTTTTCTGAACTTCATTTTGCAAGTTACCGCTTTTGTTGCGCTTATCATATTTGACATTTGGAGAACTAATGATAATAGGATCGATTGTTTTCCATGTGTTAAACTTGCGCCAGCTGTTGGATCTGAAAGAGGTTTGATACAAGCTTCTTGCATAGCAATATTTCCTTACTAGTTCATTGCCTAGTTTTCGAATTGTGCCTATTTTATTATCTTGTTGATTTATTGAAATGTTTTTAAAATTTATGATTTTTTTCTTAAAATAACTTGCAGCTATTCTCCAAAGAAAACCAGAATTTCTTGTGCGTTATATGGAGGTGAAACTGATTGCTTATATTTCTATTTTGTGAAATCTTATATATTTCTTTTCTCAATGCATTCCTTTCAACGATAATCTTATCGATTTAAACAATATAGCCACCAAATTATCAATATACAGAAATAAAATAGAAACTTCATTCAATACCTAAACATATGTACATCTCAGATTTATTTATTTCAAAAAAATTTATGCAATAATCATGGTCCTCTAAGAACTCATCAAAATATAATTTCACCATGATTGCAAAAGAATTCACATATAACATAAAATAAACCTCTAATTGCAATTCTGATCTCACTCTATTGGGGCATTACCCTTCCCTTAAATGTGTAAACACTTAAAGTGAGCAAACAACTTAGTACGTTACACGAAATCTACAATTGTATTCAATGTAAGGAGATAAAATAATATGCCTGCTATAAATTATTGAATCAGGAATACTGAATAGGGACTAAATGAGTAAATCTTTATGCTATTCATGTACATATATCATATACAATGCAATCATTTACAATTATGATTTTTTATATACCATGGAAGCATGATTAAAAGTATCATTGTAATATCATATATCTTGTAGTGCATCATGCTTTATTAGAGTCCATTCAATGATTACGCATGAAGGGAATTCATATCATATGAATGATGTGTTAGGTGTTCTAATATGGTACTTTCAGATCATATGCTTGTGAACATTAATATATCATAGGTAATGATGCTTGATATTATATGTCTTAATAACAAACTCATTTTATTATGATTAGTTGTATATCGTCATTCGTATCATATCATATGATGTGCTTTTTGGTGTAATAGGGTATCCAATCATGTTAGTAGGAATAATGATCATGAATAATACTGATTCATAAGATGATTTATAATGGTCATGCAATATTAATGGGAATGATTATCATGAATATAAGTGCAATTATGTCATATGTCATCGTGGTCAACTCATATTATCTGGTATGCTATAAGATATATATATATATATATATATATATCATACATTGCAAAGAGGTTTTCATGTCTCATCACATATACAAATGAAATTATCCTGTATATAAAATAATGTGCAAGACAAGCTTTAGAGTATTCATGTCTCATCATAGCATGTATTCTTGTGCATCATCATATTGCATCATATTTTTGTAAAGACCGAACTGATTGGTAATCATGTCATATATAGTATTTTCTCTATACAATGTTATATCATATTATGTCATAATATATCATATCATATCAAATAGCATATTATACATATATATTACCAAATCAAAATGCTGGCGAATCATATCACATGATGTTATCCCCCATATCTATCTTGTGAATTAAGTACGGTATCTTATCATATGGAACAACATGTGGCATCATATATATGAGTTGTCACTCCAATCATAAGTCCCCTTATACCTTCCATCATGTCATATATTGGTTTTACGCCACCAATCCCATGCTTAAAGTAAAGTTCGTCAGCCTACCCTCGTACGCAAGATATCATATCTCCGCCAATCTAACTCATTAGTAGTAATCTTTTCTAGCACTCCCATTTCACAATATTTAACGTTTTATTTAGGATTCATTTTATTATATCAATGTCTCATGTTGGGGAAATGGCATATATATAAAGGTGATCATAAGATAGTACCATATATTTATTTTCACATTATTAAATTGTTTGAACAGATAAATTGTTATAAATATGCATGTGGAAATAATTGGACCATGTTGAATATGCATGTCATGATAAATGAACCACATCAAGTATGTATGTCAATCGTTTTGTCTAGATCAAAAGCAATAATCAATTATTATTTTTTTAAAATATTTGTCATACTCAGATATGGGAAAATATGCCTATAATAATTGGAACACTCGGTAAAAATTCAATATTATCATGTCAATAAGTGTAGAAAGAGCATATCTACAATATACTTAAATTACTCAATGAAAGTTTGCTAGAAATTAAGATATCATAATATTTGCAACTTCTGATCATGTTAAATCTAAAAAAACCTATAGAATTTAAAACCATAAAAAACAAAGTAGGGTAATGTTAGTTTATCTTGAGACAAATATTTTCCTAACTGAACCGACTCAAAGATTCTAAATTTGAGCAATTACAATAATTAAATATGACCTAATATGGTGCCTATAGTTGTAGCCCAAAATGCAAATATTCATAGCTATACTACTTATAACATAGATTCTATAGCCTTGATTATGCAATAATAATATAGGAATTATAATAAATATCCCAATTATACTTTTCAGATCATTTCGCCATTTCAAATGCATTGAGATGGTGCATTTTGTGAAATGGGCGATTGATAAGCATTCCTACGATGAAACATCGTAAGTTGATCTTTTCATGAAATTGTGCCTATCTTCGGTGATCATTGTTGGAGAATTTTTGTATCCTCAAACGGATTGCATATTTTATAATCGAGTACGGAATAAGAACATGATATATTACCCCGAAGAGTAAAATATCATTTCCTTATGGACTCAATTATAAAATTTACAATTATTAACAGAGATTCCCCCGCTCGATGTTTGGTCGAATGGGGTTTATTTATTTTTGGGGTACAGACGTCCCATAGGGGCAAGCCCCTATGGTTAATTACATCTCAAATTTTGGCTTGAGAAAACTTTTGATTAAACTAGTGGTTTTCTTGTTTTGAAGTCATTTTAGACATTGACTAAAGTTTGATCTTTATTTTAAAATCCATGAAAGTCTTAATTAAAGGGTTTTCGGCCTTTAGGAATTTCAAGGAGGAATTGATCAACTTAGAATCAGATTTTTGGAGTGAAGTCCAAGGGAAGGTGAAGTAGGAGCACTTGAGTCTGAGGGACACTCAGAGGTGCTCAAACTATTTTATGTTGGGTTTTACATTTTAGCAATCTAATTTTGGTTTAAGTTGATGGATTATTTTGAGGCCTTGAGAGGGCTCCAAAATATCCAAGATGAAGGGTAATGGACAAATGCTTATTGATCTTGTATTAACAAACAAAGTGTCACAAACCTAGGATTTTGGTCCTAAGTCAAAAGGTTTCATGCATCGAAGTGTTTGGAGCCTTGAGGTGCTCCAAACCATTATGCATGGGGAGGGGAAAACTTGATTGGAGAATTCCCGAGAATTCCCGATTCATGAAACGATCTCCAAATCAATTTTGGCATGATTTGAGAGGTCCGATAGAGTGGACTTGCTCCTACGGCTCCTCTTGGAAAGATAGCAAGTGGTATCATCTAAGGGACCTAAAGCCATGGGATGGAATGTCATTGAAATTTCTATGGATAGGCTCTAAGAATTAGTTTTCTAGAGTCTAAGGGGAGCCTAAGGGTGAAGGCTTTCGATTGTCTTTTCGAAAGCTTCACCAAGTGCCTAAGTTATGTGTTAAAACCCTTAACCTATCAACTTACAAACCATACTAAACATGTCCAACAAACTTCCAATATATGATGGGGTGCAATCTATAAGCTCCTTGAAGCCATAGACCACCCCATCTTTGCTTTGCAAGCATCCATAAGTTTGGTGGGCATTTTTAGGGTTTTGCAAATTGTAGGTACAAGGATCATAGCCATAGACATATAGAGAATATTCAAATATGCAATAACTCATGCAAGCTTAGTTTAGCGTTAAGAAATGAGAGCATGTAAAAAAAGACTTTTTCGCTTTGCCTTCCTAAATTTGGAGTTCAATAATATTTTCCAATCAATTCATTAATTGTAGAGTTTGTAACATGAATTAAAAGTGCTCATGAATAAACCCTAACCTCAAAAAAAAATGGTTGAAACATATGCTTGAACGTCTAATAAATTTAGAGGAGATAGTGGATGTCATGGCGGTGTAAAACTATCACATGCATGTGCTAATCTAGTTGAAACATACAAGTTTTAGGGTATGTTAACGCGTGCCACACTTAGACAAGAGACCTCGCACTTCTACATTTCATTAGACATTGGGCGAGCTACTAAACCTAAGGTTTGGTCAAAGGTAAGAGTACTAAGCATGACATGGATATTATTTGCATGCAAAAAAATAGGGACGTTGAACACAAGTTCAACGCCCCATCGCCACGCCACTATCTTTTTAGCCCTCACATGAGAACAAATCATGAAAACTTACTTAATTTTCATGATTTAAACAAGTGGACATCGGATATAGGATTTTAGGAGAGCGAAAATTGAAGTTTCTAAGGACCTAGGGCTTGGAGGCGTCAACCACATAACAATTGGCCATGGGGGGACCCTAGGTTTCACTAAGTTTCAAAGGTATACCTTCCCCGGTTTGTCCTAGCGCTCCAATTTTTTTGTCCAAGTTGCTGTCCAAGGTTCGCTCCAAGCTCCAAAGTCGCTCCAAGCTCCGCCGCACACCTGCGGCTTTGGCTCGCTAGGAAGAGGACGGCGGGCAGCAGGGAGAGAGCTGACACCTCCTGGAGGTTCAGCCCGAAGTGTCGCACACGGGGGGGGGGGGAGTCGAGCGAGAACCTTGTGCCGAAATCGCCTGTCTCCCGCTTTCTCTTTAGCTGGGTCGGGACGGGCTGCACGAAAAGAAACAGGGGAGCCGAATGCCCTCTGGAGGTTCGGTCGAAGGCCTCGTCGGGGTCGGACGAGAGCTCCGCATGCGAGAGGGAGCACGAATAGGGGTTTCAGCGCGCGAACGGGGCTTCGGCGGGACTCTTCCTCTCGTTCTCTGCTCTCCGGGTCAGGACGGGCACGAAAGGAAAACAACAAAGGGGGAGCCGAATGCTCTCCCTCTGCTTCTCCCGCTGCTTTGTTCTGTTCTGGCTTCGGACGGACAGCACAAGGGAGCCGCCGCCCAAATGAGCCTATGAGGTTGTCTCGTTGCTTGAAACGAGGGGAATGTACTTGAGTACATTGAACCCAAATTTTGGGTGAGAAATGAGACAAAATCTCAGCCCTAGGTTTCAATTTTCTGATTTGGGAAGTTGATTGAACCCAAATCAGTCAATTGGGGCTGAAATAGACTTCGAATCGAACCCGACTTGGATCGATTTGGGTCCGATCGAGTCAATTTTGTGAAATTGAGCTCGAATCGATGCTGAAATGTGTCGAATTGCGTCGAATTGGGCTCGACGGCGCTCGACGGGGTTTAATTCGATTTGATTTAATTTTAATTTAATTAAATTTGATTTAATTTAATTAAATTGAGGCTTAATTCGGATTAATTTCACCTCGACGATGATCAATTGAGTTGATCGAGCGCGATCGAGCTTTGTCGGGCTCGATCGGGGTCGAGTCGATGCGAAAATATTCGTCAACAATCATCATCACATTCGATCAAGTCTGCTTGTGGATCGCATATTGAGGTCAATATACAATTGCTTGAAAATGTCAAACACATGATTATCAGCATATAACCTTACAAAGTTTCTACAATAATAGTCCAACATTAGTTTCATAAATTTTCTAATTACATCAAACTGGTACAAAGCAAGCAAAACACGTGAGGAGCACAAAAAGATTTCAAACGACTGATATGATGAGCTAAGTGCCTAATCCCACAAAGAACTAGTTTATTTTCTCATCTGTTTATGCCTTAAGCTGCAAAAAGTTGGGTTAGCATGCCTTATGAGATGTTAAATTTGGTTGTTTGGTCGTGCTTAGGGATTTATGCTGGCTTAAGCACCAACAAACATCCCATTTGGCTTCAGAAAATTGTGGTATTGAGTGTGATTAATCTATTTAAATAAATTGGAACATATCCCTTTCCTCCATATTTTCTTAAATGTCCCTATCTGTGACAGTGAGGACTGGAGACAAATAAACTCAGATTAGATCTACTATATAAGCCAACATGTCTGACTGACACAATAAAATACTAAATTTTAGAGAGTTTGGCTAAGGCTTTCTTATCTGCGGTTTCTTCGATCTTTGATCTGTTGGAGCGTTCTCAACCTTTGATATTTGAATGGATTAGCCTTGTGCGTGGTATCACTTTATTTTTTATACCTTCAGTACTTTTTATGAATTTATTGATTTTTTTTAATTAAACACATCTAGACTTTATAACTGATTTATGAAAGACTAAGCAGTGTCACATCATTAGTATTTTTATTTGGCAGGATTTCCATGCACCCATGCTTGCCATTCCTGGAGTTAAAATTATGGTTATTGCTGCATTCACTGCAGCTACTTTTATGAGTATTGTAAGTTAACCATTGCAATATTTATGGTCAATCTTGTTTGGTTTTTCCTCTCTCAAATGGGATGTTGGTTCTGGCCGTTATACTATACCCATTTGGCCTTTAATGTATCATGTTTGTGTTTTCAATGTCGTATACGTGATTCTTATCTTTCCTTTTGTTTAAACTTTGATATGGCAAACATTGCATTTAGCAATCAGGCAATTAGGTACACGGTTTGCTCACCATTCTTCACTGTTATAGCACAGAAACTGGTTCGTTAGTAATTTTACAATTAATTTTTGGGTTTGGAGGGTAATATAAATTCAAATGTAAATATGCCAAAGAGGAAGCCATAAGATTTATATGACATTTCAAAATAGAAAGTGTGTCCATCCATAAAAGGAGAAGCTACAGAAATTTTGTGAGATATGTAGCCATTATCATGCACCAAAACTGTCGATCTGTTCCCCAAACCTAGATTAAATGTTATGGTGGTTTTGTTAATCTAAAGATATACAAGTATTTTCTGATTGAAGTTAGATGTTAAGTTATAATAGCAAAGAGTTTTGACTTGAGAACATTAAGTAATGAGGGATCATGTGGACCATCATACTTAGCAATAACAAGATATCTTGAACTGTGACAAGTATTTTTGTACTTGTGCTCTCATTAGCAATGAGATGTATTGTATATATGCAATATATTTGTGTTGCTTAAAATTAAGTTTGTACGGTTACATTAAGGAAAAGTGTCAATATGATAATACAATTTACATTCATGGATCAACTGTCTAGAATAAGTGCTTATCAAGGTATTAGAGTGAGTTTATTGGGCTTCTGCAAAAAAATTGCTCTGGCCTAAACATATACACCATCTTATGGCTTTGCCATTTTGGCACATTTAGGAGAACACACTAGAAAGTTTGCACCAGTGAAATTCGTGTGTGCAAAAGTCCAGTGAAATCCTTTTAAATTAGTAATTCAAGCATTTTCTTGCAATCTTTTTTCACTTGCATCCTTATATTCATTACTTATGCTTAAAAATTGAAATATTTATGTAAGTGCTTAATAGGCACTCTGCACAAGGCTTCAACCTGGTTTAGATCAAAAGATTGTCCTTCCTAGAGACTCTTATCTTCAGGTTCATGATCACACTTTTGTGATTTATTGGATTGAACATGTTTGTTTTGAAACTGTCAAAGTATTTGTTGTGACATTTTGTTTAAAACTACTGCAGGGTTACTTTGATGATCTTGCACATTATCTGAGAGTAGGTCCACCACTGTATTTTGTTGTAAAAGACTTCAACTATAGGTACTGACTGTTATATATCTATACATAAATGTTGTGTGAGATTGATAAAGTTTTAACTTGGAAATTAGCATCTTTAGTTTGTGATTATGCTTGATGTGTTTTTCAATGCAGTTATTTTGAATTTAATCGTGTTCTATGTCATTATGTGGTTGAGTATTATTGAGAAACTGGATAATGTTTATGTTATGAGCGTTTATCCACGTCATAATTTGTATATTGCTTTTAATAAATCTATAAGAACAATATTGTTCTTTCTCAGAACACCTTTAAAACTTCACTTGAACTGAATGGCAGAAGAATTCAAGTTTTGAGGTGTTTCTGCTTGTATCCTGTTGACCTCAACAACAGATTTAAAATAAATAAATAAATAAATAAAATCATTACATACCTGCTGAAATCTGAAGCCCATCCCTTATCCTGCAAAACGGCGCCGAAGTGTCGCGTATGTCCCATCTTCTGTGTGCACGATCGCGTTGTTAAATCGACAACGAATCGCTTTCGCGTCTTCGCCTTATTTTCCCACGCGCGAGCCGGTCTCGTCTTCGCCTTTCTTCCACGCACGATGTCGCCTCTTCCCATATACGAACATCACACCCATCCGAAGCCCCAACAACCATCCGGCCTCAATCAAACTCCCATGCTTGATGCTTCTTCTTCCCGATTTTCTTCTCTACCTGCTTCCATTCATGTAAACTCCTCAACCCGACAACCTCAAGCCACTCGACCTCTCTGAAATCCGACTCGCAACCTGATCGAGCCTGTTGCCTCCGGCTGACCCCCACACCAGCAGCCGCAAGCTGATCGAGCCTGTTGCCTCCGTCTGCGAGCAAGCCTCGATCACACGAGTCCATTCACAGGCCACTGTGCCGACGCTGCATATCCATGCCGACCTTTTCCTCACATTCGACCACTCTCCACTGTGCGGATCTAGTCCGACGTCTGACTCCAGCAAACGGTAAGCCCATACACCTTCTGTCGCGTGCCCTACCAGCTTCCCTCCTTCCCGATTCAACCCTCTTCCTCAAGTCGAGGCCTCCACTTGCTCTACTGTGCCGATTTAGAGGGCTTCAACCCACCGGACCCCTAACCGCTTCTTCTTCCTTACAAATCAAACCCAAACAGACCACTATCTCTCCTCTACCAACCCTATTACACTCAAAAACCCAATCAGCAGCTCATTACATCCAAATCAGCCCACTTAAGCTAAACCCTCATTCTCACAAACCCACAACAGCCTAAATCCCATTCAAACAGTCCAAACCCACTGCATAATTTCCCCTCCAACAACAACCCCAAATCAAAATCTAAAAAGCCCATATACCCTTACTTTCCCGCGACCAAAAAAATCGTAGGGTAAGTTTGATTACTATTATTGGTTATTGTCGTTATTTAATGTAATCAGTCTTATTTATTTTTGCTATATATATGTGTGTGTGTGAAAAAGGGAAATAGAGACAAAAAATAAGAGAGATTAAAAAAAAGAGAAAAAGAAGGAGAAGAGAAAGAAGAGAAAAGAGAAATTCAACAAAAGGAGGGATTTTGTGCATTTGCAGTGTGCATTTACGTCGTAACTGCCGTTACATCCCCCATCACGAAGGTATAATTTCTAAAACTCAAAATCCTGCATTCGATGTTCGCGTCGCACTAGAAAATCACTCATACAAGTTTTTCTCTAGCATGGTGGGAATGGAATCCAGTGCGGTGACTACGACGAGGCGGGTAGGCCCTGTACATGCTCTCGTAGCGTGGCGGTGACGCTTCTAAGTACCCGTACGTGCCTCAATGCCAGCGGGGAAAAGCAATTGCGCATTCTTAAATTCCCATACACCATTTCGTAGCATGGTGGGATTGAAGAAATAAGGCCGTGGTGTTTCCTGACACCTACCGTACATGCTTTTTCTTGCGTGTCAGGAGGCCCAGTCTCCTAGAATTTCCCCTAAACGGTGGAAATGTCGGGAGGCTACTGAATTTTTCAAAGGACCTGAACTATACAAAATCACAATAAGCTTTACTTAAACTTAAATGAACTGTAAAGGATCAAACTTGAACTTGATTCAAACTCAAACATACAACAGAGGACTTGAATACAAAGGAGTTGAACTTGAGAGGACCATAGGGAACAAAACTCAATTAATAATGACAATGAATTGGACATCAAGATTATAATTGAAATGCAAATACCAAAATTGAGCAATAACTTTGATCAACTAAGTGAATATGAGACCTATTTTGAATAAACCTTTATTGCACATGAGTGACGAGTAACCTGGAGCACATGAACAATTGCAAGCATGTGTCAATGATGACAGTTTTACCATGCATACAAATTATGAACTATGGACTTTGAATCACTCGAATATTCAATAAATCAAAGTGTAAATGAAGACAAGTGCCACTCATATTGTTCATACAAGACTTGCAGTTGCCCTTACAAGCAGAGGGATTTGACATGCAATAAGTACAACACAAGTGGTAAATGAGCTCTCGATGCATACAATAACTTGCCCATGAAGAATGAAATTTAAAGTAACTTGCAATGTTTGGCTGGTCAGCCTATAGGAATTAACCAAGAACCAGCAGGCATGCACGAACTCCTACAAATCTTTGTAGGAGATATGTCATGCATACAACACCTCGCCTGTAAATAGAATGGGAGGTTTGTAGTGCAAAAATCACAGTTCATCAAAAGGTTAGGGTAAATAGATTTTTGATGATGATATTAATATCATCCTGCTACAATAAGCAACAATCACTTGTAAACGGTGAAAGCATCCTGCAGACATATATGATGTTGTATACGATAAATCCTAAGATTTGCCAACAGTGATAGTAGTTAAATTGTGAATGCAACAATATTCCTATGATTGATGTCAGTTCTCATGCAAATACATGTAGTAATTCCCATGAACATTGAAACACATGCAAGCAAGTGCAGAAGGTCACCAATCAATGTGCATGGAGAAAGCATACGATGAATGCAATTCACTTGGTAGTCAACATTAGTGCACAGATGGATACACCAACTTATTTGCAAACGACAAACCACAAGCAAATATACTAAGTGCAATATAGGATAAATGGAAACATCCGCCAATGATTCACCTACAAATATTAAAAATCAAAGTGCAATGATATGAAACACTCACTTGTAAATGATAGTAATCTGCATGAAATACTTACCTCAATCTTGTTCACAAATAATCAAAGGACTACACCTACTTGCAGATGCTTACAGTAGCCTCCTATGAATATGAAACCAGTATGCAATGAATGTAGCGACTTGCCAGTTAATATATATGGAGAAGTTAGTGATGAATATAATTCAACTGTCAGTTAGCATCGCACACAATACACTAAGCCATATGTTATTGATGTTGGTAGACATGGGGCAAGTGCAAGGTTCCCTGCAAACATATTCAAGTAAATTGCGGCAAACGTACAAGAGATTCGCCATGTATAGTAGTCCACTAACAGGTATGCCTAACGAAATGTAATAGATGCTAGAGAGCAAAAAAGGCGGAATGGGGGAAGAGAGAAATGGTTGGATTGGGTAGAGAGAAACTGTGTTAGAGAGAGGCGAATATTTGTAGCTTTTTATTAAATAAAGATGGGATTCTTTTTACAAAAAAAAAAAATCTAATTTGTAGATACAAAATTTTCTATTTTATATTTATTTTGATTTAATAAAACAGATGATTTTGTCTAATAATTAGAATTTTTGCAAAAAAATACTAATTATTATTTATTATTTAATAAAAATTTACTACTTAAATTTAATAAAAAGTTATTAATATGTTTACCTATACTCTACAGCCAAGAGAAAGCAGACAAAAAATATATGTAAAACAAAGCTTAAATCATTACCTATATCAAATCTCTGCTCAAATCAGCAACCCATACCTCTGCAAATGGCGTCGTTCAGAGCTGAACGCATACAGCTTGCCTCGATTGCACCTTTTTTGCATTAATAAAAAGAGAGAGAGGCTCTCGTTCCCTCCTTCCAAGAAAAACTCTCGGCTCTCCCTTCTTCCCACTTCATGCAAGTGCCGAACTCCTGCATAGCGGACAAGGAAGGTTCCTATATCTCATTCATATGTAACAAACAAGATGAATATACATATGCATATGTCAATAAACAATAATGCTAAGTGAAGGTCTAAAGCATGCAAATGAACACTAAGGGATGAATATGAGACTTGTGGTGAACTAAAAAAAGTCTATTATTGAAACAAATGAGAACCCATTGAGGTAATGAATGACCTAGTTGCAACTAATGCAAATATTTGCAAATAATGATGACGACCAACAATCACATATAAAGAATGCCATGTCATTTAAATGGAAGAAATGAAGTTATGGTAAAAATGGTCCGCTTACAATTCAATATGTCAAATTCTTGTAAATACAAATCACTCATAAGTGGTAATGAGATTCCATGCAAGTGGGTGATTTGAAGTAATTGTAATGACTACAAGAACATAAATGCAATGACGAGTAACATCCATAAGCAAGCAGGCAGGTGCAAATGCTCAAGTGATGAAAGTCGAAAGGCATATGTTGTTCAATTTCAAGCAAATATCAACAAGTGATATGAGCAGAGGTATGCAATGCAACATGTTATGAATGTGAATATCAATCGACAGTTCATCTACAAGTAAAAATCAAGAACTAATTATATGCACAGTAGTTCACACAAAGGCAGTGACGATCGACATCAATCAAACATCTGGCAAGGCACAAGTTCCCTACAAACATGATTTGAGGAGGTGTTATGCATACAACACATTGCCTATGAGTAGAAGCAGGAGATTCGTTAGTGTACTATAATCCTTCTACGGGAAGCGATAAGTGATGCCCGACAGTCTACTTGTATGCAACGGGCAAATGGTCACAGTACAACGCCACGCCACCGGATTCGCAGCATTCATACAAGCGGACAGAAGGCGTTTACGGGTTTCTACATAATGCGTCGCGTACATTCAATAGACAGTTATCCGCAT